ACACACACACACACACACACACACACACACACACACACACACACACACACACACACGGACGGTCGATCATCATCTCCATCTTAATCCCCATCTTAATCCCCATCTTGATTAGTCAATATATATATATATATATATACATTTGCTGAGAGAAAGAGGATCGTGCAACATGGATAGGAGGTACCTGCCTAGGTAACGTAACGTGGTGTGGAGGTGAGGGGGACATCGAGATGGATCGCAGGGGAGTCTCAAGAAGGCATTTGAATACTAAGTAGGGAAATGATATTAAGTGAATTGGAGATACATCTGAGAAACTTCTTCCATACACTGGAGTACATCACGACGACCGTTCAAGTGGAGCGGCGTGCAGAAAGCGCCCGGACTCCAACAGACGTGGGCACCGCGTAGCCCAACCATCTTCCTGATCGTCGCCTGCAGCCCGGGATTACGTGCAGCCGGGGACATTGTGGCAACAGGGAATCAATCTCAACGTATTTTGCTCGCTCACGAGCTTTGATTGGTTGGTACTACGTTCATAGTGATCCGTCCTGTCCGCCACACCGTCGTCATCCCCAGTTCAGGCGGGAACCATCCCTATGGATGCCCACCAGATGCACTAGTTCTCTCGTCTTGCATTACGAAGGCTCGAAAATGAAACCGATTCGTAAAACCCCCCCCTCCCCCCGACCCAGTAACGCCACCATTCTATTGGACAATTCCCACGCTCAGAAACAGTAGCAATGCAATTTTTGTTTTTCACCCAGCCAGACACTTCTTGTCTGCTCGGCGTGTCATTAAATGTCGCTCGCAGGAGGCAGACGGAATAAACAGGCCTACGCGGCATCAGCAGATGCAACGGGCTCGGCTATCCGGGTGACCTGGCTGCCAGCCCGGATAATCTTCTTGCCAGCCGAGTCCGAGACGAAGGAAATGTCCTTGTTCTCGCGCTGAGCACGCTTCCAGATCTCGACCTCGCAACCGCCACGGATCACACCGACGCGCATCGTAGACAACAGGTTGTGGGCGGCGTTGGAGTGGTTGTAGACACCTCCGTTGAAGATGGCCGTCGCGTCCTTGCCGATGCCAGAGTTGATGAGAGCCTTGCCACCCGGGTGGTCCTTGACAAAGTCGGTGACGTCGTGAACGACACCAGCGACAGCGACGAGAGCACGGCCGTTCTTGGCCTCGGCTTGGTAGGAGTCCCAGTCGATGATGGGCAGCTGCTCCAGAGGAATACCCCAGTCGAGGGTTTGGCGCTTCTGATCGAGCTTCTTCTGGAGTTGTTGGAGACGGCCCTTCTCGATTTCATTTTGCTTGAATTGCTTGAGGTCGTACGCGAGGCCCATTTGCTTCCACAACCAGATAGACCACTTGGTAGGGTCATATTGGTGCCACTCAATGGCGTTACGGTAGTCGGAGGGGAACTCGTGGTGGAAGTTGTGGTAGCCCTCGCCGAGCGTGACGAGAGCAGTGATGACGTGGTCACGGGGAGAGTTGCGGTCGTCGAATGGTTGGTCGCCGAGCCAGTGGGCCAGAGAGTTGACGCAGAAGGTGGCCTGTTGGACAAAGAAGATGCGGAGAATTCCGGCGTAGATAAATCCTCCCTTCCAGTCTCCCCATCCGAGACCACTGACGAGACACGGGAAGACCATCCCCATGAAGATGACCGTCTTGATGTAGTTGCGGTGTTGCCAGACGACGACGGGGTCATCGTTCAAATCGGAGATGTCAGTACGGCCGATGCGCTTGGGGTTCTGCTTCATGATCATCCATCCAATGTGCGAGTAGAGGAGACCCTTGCGGACGGAGTATGGGTCCTTGTCGGTGTCGGTGTACCGGTGGTGGGCGCGGTGATCTCTCGACCACCAGCGGATCGAGCCTTCGACGGCTCCACCGCCCACGGCAGCGAGGAAGATCTTCAGCGGGAGACGGGCAGAGTAGGAGGTGTGAGCCCAAAGTCGGTGGTAACCTGGAAACGCTGCGTTAGCCAATGCCGTCGAGTGCAGGAGCTCCCAAGGGGGGGGGGGCACATACCAGCGGTGATCCCGAGACCGGTCATAAAGTAGTAGGTAATGGCCCAGATGGCCGTCTTGAGCTGCAGCGGGGTCCAGTAGGTGGCCATGAGACCGTAGATGGGCACGCCCACAATGAGAGTGATATTGAGCCAGTTGACATGCTTATACCAATTGGCCTGGGTGATAGGCTCCTCGGTGATGTGAGACTTCTTGGGCTCGAATTTCTTGGTCGCTGGCTTGGCCATGCCAGATGGTTGCGTTGTGGTAGAGGCCATGTTGGGGGGTGAATGGCAGGGAAAAGGTTGAAGGGGAGAAAAGAAAAAAAGGTGAAAAAGTGTGGGTGGATGACACTTTATAAAGGTCGAGTGGATGCGAGAGGAAGCGGGAAGCGGGAAGCGGAAGTGGGGCGGCGTCGAGGAGCAGCTGTTTCGCAGGCGAAAGGCGAAAGGCGAATGGCGAGTGAATGCACTAAGCAACTTGTGGCCCCTGTGAAGCCCTGTCGGCCCTGGAGGTTGGGTTGGGGCGCGCTTCTTTTGGCGAGTGAAGGCGAATGAAGGAAACAAACCCAACTACCGGGGGAGGTGCGACGACCTACCGACTACAACGGTAGGTAGGTGTACCGTGTTCTCCCTACCGTACGGAAGAATCCGGCCGACATAGAGAGAAAGGGCTCCAATTGCAATTGACATTTCACACGCCAAGTGCGTAATCCGTAGTCCGGTAAGTCATGCCGAGAGGACTCAACACTTTTTTTCTGGTTTGGAAACGCATGTATGTACGTAGTAGTAGTAGTAGTAGTATGTCCTATGTACCTACCTACATACTACCATGTTAGACCAAAACGAGCAACTGACTGCAAATTCATGCTCGCTGCTTCCCCTTCGCCACCAGATGGCAGTTGCAAGACCGGATTGATGCAATCCAATCAGTATGTTCGTTCATCCGTTGCCCAAGTTCATCTTTTCACCCATCCACCCATCTCCCTCCCTATAGCCGTTCTGTCTCACTCCTCGTCCGATCTCCACTGGTAGAAGGCGGAGTCTAAATTTAGATTTTTCCGATTTTTTTTTTTTTCTCTTTTTTTTTAATTAAGGGTCCTGAGCGTGATGACGATGACATTTTGCCTCTTTTCACTTCGCCTCCTCGCCCGCCCCTTTCTTTATTTCCCTTTTCGTTTGCATGATCTTCCCCGCTCACCCCTTCCGTCTCCCGCAATCTTTTTTCCATGTGATCCTCCGTATGTCAATGACTATATGATCGTTCCATCGATGCATTCTCCCTGCGATAAGGACCCACTCGCTCGCGTCGCATTGGCTGGCGGGCTGGCTCACTGGCTCACTGGCTCACTGGCTCACTGGCTTCCTCCCTAAATCACGAACATCGACCCACTCTGCCTCATCTCGCACCTGCCCCACTCCACTGCCCTGCCCCGCCCCGCCCCATCGGCCCACCGCCCCACTGTCACTCTGCCCCTGGCATTTCTGTTGGGGCGCTAGATGCTAGGACACAGTCGTACAGTACGTAACCTAGTAAATGCTCAAACCTCATCAAATATACTCTCCTGCTTGTGCCAGCAACCGTCCCCATCCATCTCACCCACTCACCCACTCACCCACTCACCCACTCACCCACTCACCCACTCACCCACTCACCCCCCCATCCCCCCATCCCCCCTTCCTTCATGGAAACTGCCTGAAATTCGGGAATTCAACAGTCCCATGTCTTGGGCCTTTCCGCCTCTCGCTCTCCGTGGGCGACGAGCTGGCCATGTCATGGTACCACGTGAGACAAGACCCCGTACCTGCATGAATTTGGCTGAGCGAATGCTTGAAAACGGAATAAGGCAGGCCCCAGTGAGTGGCAACCAAAAGATGACTCGGATGCAGCTCTCCTCTCTCCTCTCTCCTCTCTCCTCTCTCCTCTCGCCTCTCGCTCTCTCAACAACAGGACTCTCTCTACATAGTACGGCTTGGAAGATTCAACAACTCTTGTCGGATCCAACCTGGAAACCTGGACAGCTTGAATCCAACAAATGGCTGCCCATGTGCCACAGATCAATCTCATATTCCATGCCTCCGGATTATGCTGCATTTTCTCAACCCCGCATCCCCAATTCCCCAATCTTCTCCCTTTCCCCTGTGGAACTCGGAGAGTGAGCACCTGTTTTTTTGCTGCACGGGACCGAAGTTCCCATCAGGGATGGCTGATCACGTGGCAGCAGTCAATCTTGAGAGTCAGCCTCGATATTATAAAAAAAACAAAAAAAAAACAAAAAAAAAAAACAAAAAAAAAAAACAACGTGAGCTTCACGTGTGGACCTAGATGACAGGGGCGACTCGAGCAGCTTGTTTTAATTACAGTGTCGGACCCGGGATGGCCGGCACTTGGTCAGCAGGACCTTTCGTTCTCGCCTGTCTCGGGAGGAGTGGTCCTAGGAACTGGATAACTGATCCTCCTACGAGAGAGACTGGACACGAGGTAAAGGAATGCCTACTCACAATATCCACATGCTGCTGCCTTGATGCAGCCGACTAGAAGGTCACCGACCATACTCACTGTTCACCATCATCAGCGCAAACTCCCCCACTGCCAGGGATAGAAGGGCAGATCTTTCTTACGAGACTCCATAATCGGAGGAGATCCAAAGCGTGCACAGAGGATAATCGTTACCGAACATGGAGAAGCCCAAACCGATGAACTCGGCACTCCTTTCGGGCCGCCTATGCAGCACGGCATTCGAAGGATAGAGCATACAAGAGCCCGTCTCGTGCCGCCTTAAATACGAGCCGGAGCCACTGGCCCAGCTCTACAACCGCTCTCGATCCGCGAGACGCCGATGAGCATAACGGTGGGGCCGGTGGCGAAGGGCGGGAGCTGTTTCTGCAGCAGGGAGGGCGTCATGGACGAGATTTCGAGCACATGCCGTTGGCGCTGGTGGAAGTCGGAGTCAGCGTTATGCAATAGCAAGACGCGAGAAGGAGGGTCGTGAAACGATTCAGGACTAGAGACTCCCGAGATGTTCTCGAAGCGAAGGGAACAGAAACCGCGCGGATCAAGACTAACGTACTAAAGTACATCGGCGGAAGAGGTTCCGACTACGGAGATCAAGCCCGTGCCGATGTAGTCGGGGGTCGTGGAGGGGTGAAACTGTGAGGGGTTATGTCAGCGGTGGCGAGTTCGTTTTGTTGTCTGTCTGTCCCCATCTCGCTTGGGAACTCCAAGCATTGTTTTTTGGAATTGTAAATTTTTACAAGTTTTTATTTCTGGTTTTTTTTTTTCTTTCCTTGTTTTTCTTTTTTGTGCTTTTTTTTTTCTTTTTTCTTTTTGGCACTCAGCCAGACGGATTTGCAGGAGAAACGGTGATGAAGCGACTTACCCGCGTAGTCTACCTGCATGGCAGACCGGATACCGCAGATGATGAGCGAGCGAGCTCGAGACTGAGGTACTGGGAGTCAGTCAGTCTCATGCGGAAAGTTTGCCTGCCGAGCCCTCAATCATGCTCGGGGAAGTCACTAGCCCCTGTTCGTTAATCTTTTCCAACTTTTTGTAACTTTTTATCGTCCTATTTTTTTATTTTTTTATCGATTCGGCCTTACGAAGTGTCGCCATCACCAAACCAAACCAAGTCAAACCAAGCAAGCAAAAAGAAGACGGAGGAGAGAGAGGGAGAGCAGCTAAGCTTCGGGACATTTGTATTATGTAATACTGTGCTTGGCAGTCTCCATGAGGCCATGTGTTGGATATTGGATATATCTATGCTAAGGTATAGATAGGTATAGGTAAAGGTAGTGCACCTCTCGTTACTTTCATATAAGCATTGGCCGGCGGCCAGCAGCGGATTGATGCTGATGTACCGTACCCACTCCATGCGTCGTTGATCGTCTGATCAACTCGCGGCCAACAACAAAGTGTCGAATGAATCGGCCGGCACACAGGTGTAAAGACAAGACAAGACAAGTCGTCTGTCTGTCTGTCTGTCCGTCTAGCTTGATCATCTGATCTGATCAGATTGGCTCTATCGAAATCTGCCATATCCTCCCTCCCTTCTCCCCTCTTACGAAGAGAGAATTGGTTCACGGCTTTGGCCTGGGCGCATTACGACGGTTCGTCTCGAACATTCAAGCCTCTCCCCTCTTGCTTCGACTCGACAGATGTCCAGGGCCTCCCCTTAACGATATCCAGGTGGTCCCGGGGCCCTGTACACTCCTCCACCACCACCCCGTCCTTCGTTCCAATGCCCCTGCCCGTCATCAAAGCCGAGGTCGTGCGTCTCGCGCCCCCGTTGAGCGCCTGGTAGGTGGTCACGGCCGCCATACGAGTCCCGCGCAACAGCCACGGCAAGCCGTGGGGGCCCCCCATTCCCCTTCCCCAACGCCGCCGGCGTGACACTGGATTTATCATCGACCAGGTTCAGCGAAGCGAAGATGGCTTTCATGTCTCGCAAATCCTCCGCCGGGATGTCCTTCGCCGGAGACGTCCGCTCCTCGACGAATTTGCGGATGGAGCGGATGATGGGCGGGTAGTTCTCGTCGTGCGGGAGCCACCAGTGCATGCACGAACGGTCGCGGAAGAGGTCGGCCATCTTGCTTCGGAAGGTGTAGGGGTATATATAGCTGTGATGGGTGATGGCTGTTAGCGCGCAGTTTGGGAAGAAGAAGAGTGGTAGGTAGGTAGGGTGATGGGGTTTTACCCGTTCGACTCGATCGTGGCCAACTTCCTGCGTACCCACATGAAATGCCTCTCGTCCTTCGGCAGGAACAAGGAGGTGATTCCCAGGCTCGCCTGACAGGCCAACACTATCCCCGAGGGCCTCTGGGGCCAGAACTCGAGGGCCTCGAATAGCTGGCAGCAGTCGTAGGCGATCCTAACAACCTCGGGACTAGGTTGTTTCTGCAACGTGAGAGCAGTCTGAAGCTTGTGCATCAGGTCGATGGAATACCAGTCGATGGTCGCGACGTTCATGATCGAGAGTGGCCCACTGTATATGATGCCGGGTAGGTACGGATTCACGATATCGTCCGAGGGAACCGGGCGCGCGCCGGAGAAGTCCGTGACGAGATATCGGCTATCTTGGAGGGCTGGATCCATCTTGGTCTTCCACTCCTCGAGTCTTCGCGCGATGTCTTCGTTCTCGGCGACGAACTGTTCGGTGGAGATCTCCCCTTTGCCCTTTCTTGCAAAGAGCAGTGACATGTCCGTGGCGTTGAGGCGGTGTTGGGCGATTGCAAATTCGATCTTCCACTCCAGAACGTTCGGTTCACGTGCAACTTGGTGCTGGAAGTAATCGTGTGCGTAAGAAAACCACTCCCTGGATAGTACCGTCGCGAAACCGCCCAGCAGCCCGGCAAAAACATCGAAGCGCATATACCAGCCAAGAATCATGCGCGACATCGGATCTTCCATGACCGTCCGCGGCGTGTAGAGCTCGGTCAGGATTTCGTAGGCTGCTTTCTGATGGCCGAGTAGGTTGATCCAGTCTCCCAGGAATTCCTGGAACGTCAGTACTGGTAGTCTTGATACACGCCCTCAGGTCATACCTCAATCGTTGCCAGCTGGAGGATTGCGAGTATCGTGCCATGGGTATGCTTCTCCCCCCTCTGAAGCGAGTTGAGGAGTAAAGACACGGCCTTGTTGTAATATCTAGTCATCGGGATCAGCTATTGCTCGTGGCGGTCTTATGAAAACCAGGCTCATCAAGAAGTCATAGGGATCAGCTATTGCTCGCGGCGGTCTCTGAAAACCAGGCCCATCAAGCGATATCCTTGAAGCAAAAGCTGTGCACCCAAATTACTTACTGGAGAAAATCTTGTATTTTGCCGTCCGGGGTGTGCAACGTTCGCTGAAACGCGGAGAATCCGACCACTGCGTATAGTAATGACTCGTTCCTGAAAGCAGCCTCAAGAAAAGTCGTTTGCAAGAAGTCTCTCAAGTCGGTTTTCAGGGAGTAGTGGAGATGCGTGATGTTTTCGTAAAAGTAAGCGAGGTAGAGTTGAAGGTCGAGAGGGAGATGTGACCAGTCGCTCCTCGGGGTCTCTGGGCTCGATCCAGGTTGCTTTGCTGTTCTGTTCGCTCTGAATATGCCGGCCGTGTGGTATCCCACGGATCCTTCTGTAGATGGCGTGGGTGATGAAGCTTTGTCCTGCACCAACGAAGGAGTCTCGGAACTGTGTCTAGTCACGCCCATCTGTGCGCCTAACGACTGAATGGTGCTGCTCGGTTGCATTCCGTATTCTGACATGCGCTGAGAACGTCTGTCGCCGCCCAGGCTTTCGTCTTCGTCCGGTATTGCGTTTAGTCGCTTCTCTTCGTCATACTCGTCGGATGACGATCCCGGATAGTCCTGTGGTGTCACATCGGTTTTTGAACCTGCCTTTTTCGAGGCCTTTGCTGAGGTTGAAGTTTCTGGATAGACGCATTCTCGGCCACCTTTCTTGCACCCTGGGGTACGTTAGATAGCTAACGGGAAGCAGAATCTGATAGACCTACTCTCGCAGATTGGATGACCCTCGTCGCACTACGCAAGTCAGTCAGTCACCAGTCAAACCGACGGTCACCAAGGATGAGTTGGAGTCTCTGACCTTGACACGGCGTGACCGACACGTGTAGCAGCCACTTCTTGTTCGGCGATGCTTCATCTGGTCCGAGCTTGTATTGGATGACCGTCTGTTGCGATTGGGTTTAGGTGCGTTCATGGTCGCGTCTTGGATTCCATAGAGAAACTGGAGATCTGCGTAGGAGGCTGCCGAACTCAACTGCTGTGGTGGAGATGTGTCTCGCGGGCGCGCAGTCCCGAATGATGCCACCGGCAGTCGAGAGTTTGGGCTCTGGCTATCTGGTGAATACTTGTTGCTTTGGTGGTTCATGACGATTTACCAGATGCAATGGGTCGGGATCAGAGGGATATATGGTGCAGATAGATGAAAGGAAAGACAGCCAGCCACCAGTCTAAGAGGGAACGGGCAATCGGTACCAAATCTCTTGAGGAATGGTAATACGTCTGTATCTCAGACGCACCTCTCACACGCACCCCAACGCAGGATCAGTACGTATACCGGGCAGTTGCCGGGCCGGTTCAGATCTCAGACTCCTCGAGCAAGTCGAGGCGCGAAGAGAAGAGAGGTAAGGGATGGTTCCCAAAGCAAGCAGGCACGTTTCAGAGAGCCAGCTAACAATATCTTGCCAGTCTGGAGAACTCGAGTATCGGGGGTTTTTTCGTTGACCTCCGGAAAAGGCAGCACCGCTCCAAGATAGCTCAAGTTAACCAGGCCTGCTTGCCGCCAGATCACAGGTAGTGAGTCGAAGGCCGTGCCCGCGAACAAGAAAGGTCACACGCCGACTACCCGCCTTCCAATTAATGAGTGAGTGAAGCTGTATAACAGCATTTGGCGTTTTGGTGCAACCGGGTGCGGATGGGAGTTGGGAGTTTCGCTCTGAGCTCCCGAGGGCTTGGTTAGTTGGTTGGTTGGAACTGAGACGATTGTTCCCAATTTGAGCGCTCGTCCGTCCAGTTGCTATGATCTCAGAATTAATAATGATATCCTTGGCCTATACAGAAGTTGGCTGACGGGGGAGGGGCCGAGTCGAGTAGCCAGTTGCAAATCATGGGGGCACAGAGTGGCGCGGTTTTATGCAAGAATGCTTGCTGCTTGCTGGTTGGTGGTAGGCGGTGGTGATGGTGGTGGTACTGTGGAAGATCCCCCGTCCCAGTTCCCGGCCGTGAGGTTTTATTATGGCTGGCAGGGCGCAAGGTGAGAAAGGTAAGGAAGGTTATCTCCAGCCGGAAAGGGTTGTTGTTGTTGTTGTTGTCGTTATTGAGACCACCAGATGCAAATAAAGGCCGGAGACGGAGGAGGTCGTCTGCATGCAACTCCTCGACGCGAACGGCGTCTGACGTGACGGCGAAAGGAGAGAACGATGAACTTACGATTGAGTCTGTCTTCGAAGGTCATGTCATATCCGAGGAGATTGAGCTGTATGAGCTACCCAGCCCAGTGAAGATCATCCAGGCCAAGGCCAAGGCCGTGCAAGCAAGTGCCCCCCCCCGAAGGCAAAGTAAATTATATTAGAAATATATACGCCTTCAGTCTCTCCCGAGGCGAGACGAAACGGCCTGTCTCAGTCTCAGCATCTGGGAGACGTGTTGGAGGGCATGCAGATGGGGCATCTGGCATCTGGCATTTGGCATCTGGCATCTGGCATCTGTACCTGGCCTGGAGTAACGGTGCCTCGAGAAAGCTGGGGGGCGTGCGTCGCTGGGCGGTATTGTTCTGTGATGGGATCTAGATAGGGGTAAAAGTATAAAAGAAGTATATTATAGAGGTGCATATACCTATTTATAGTATGCAGAGAAGAGAGAGGGAGAAGAGAGAGAGAGAGAGAGAGAGAGAGAGAGAGAGAGAGAGAGAGAGAGAGAGAGAGAGAGAGAGAGAGAGAGAAGAGAGAGTAGAGAGAGAG